GGTGCCGTGACTCACCGGCTGACAGCAGCACCGCCTCCCGCGCCAGGAAACTGGGGAGAGACGAGCTGTGAGTCCGGCCCCCCTGGCAGCCGGGCACGGGGGGCTGATGCCCCCGCAGCGCACAAGCAAGCTGCTCCAGCAGCAAAGCGCTGCCTGCTGTTGTTTGCTGAGCTGTGCCCAGGCTTGGGGGGTTGCAGCCTTGATGGGCCCTGGGGTCCAACCCCCTTGAAGTCCCTCTAGTTGCAGGCAGAGGAATTGGGACGTGGCCATACTCCTGCCTGGAGGGCAGCGGCTCCCACCGCAGGAATCCCACCAGGTGTAGCTCCCCTGCGTGGCTTTGGTGCGTCCTGCTCCTCTCCACGCTGACGGCAGCCCCGGAGCTGGCAGCTCCCCTGTGGGCTCTGCCTGCACGCGGCGAGCTGCCTGCGCGTGGTGTCTCGCCGCAGCGGGCAGCTGCCCTGGGAGAGGGCAGCCAGGGTCTGGTGCAGCAGCAGGCGTGGGCAGCGCTGCGGGGAGGGTGGGAGCGAGCAGATCGGTGCTGCAGGCCCGGGGAAGAGGTGATGATGGAGGAGGGGTTGGCAACATCGGGATCAGTTTTGTGGCTCCCAGCCTTGCCGAGCCTCCCTAGGCAGGCAGTGACCTTCCCTCTGCCTCCCTCGGCTGTCAGCAGCGGGGATCCCATCCTGCTGCAGACGCGCTGTCCTCGAGCGGCAGGAAAGGGTCTGCTGCCCGCACAGCCCCTGGGCCGCTCTCCTGCTGCCTTCCCGGTGCCTACGCTTGCTCTCCCGTGGGCTCCAGCTGCCGGGCTCTACCCATGCTAGCGGGAGCTGCCTTCTCCCCAGGTCTCAGCCCTCGCTCTCCCATGCCGCAGCTCTGCCCTGGGGCCTGCCGGCAAGGGGAGCGTGGGCAGGAGCCTGCCAGCCCGGCCCCAGGACCACCCCAGCCTGGGCTAGCGGCCGCTGGCTGCCTGCGCAGGGGGGTGGGTTTGCAGCAGCCTCACTCCAAAACTCTTCTGCTTTTTCTCTCTCTCTCCCCCGCCCCCTTTCTGTCCTCCTCTTCCCTCTGTCCCCTCCTGCTTCCTCTCTCCTGCAGCTATGAATCCTCTGCTGAAATCTTGCCACACACACCAAGACTTACCCACTTCCCCACCGTGTCCGGCTCGCCGGCCAGCCTTGCTGATTCCATGCAGCAGAAACTGTCCTGTCCCCGCCGACGCCGGCAGCAAAGCCCTAGTGCCATGTAGCAATCGCACGCGGTGCCCTTTCTGTCTGTCGCTCTGGCCAGGTAGGGGCTGGTCCCGGCTCCCCCCCTTCCCTGGGCAGAGGCAGTAGCGGTCGCCTCGCTGCTGTGGGCCGGCTTCTCTCCCTGTCTTAGGGGGGGAGAGGATTTG